CGCTGCTGGGTTTCATTAATGCATGGATCTACTCTGTATGTGGGGATTCGCAATCTTCCAAATCATGGTGGTGGTGGTGGTGGTTTTTTTTTCAAGAGGCAACTGGACTTTCTTGTTTCTCCTCTGAGGACGTTTCGCTTCTCATCCCAGAAGCTTCTTCAGCTCTGTCTGGAGGGTAGGAGAATGGAAGGATTTATTATACGCCTTGCGGACCGTTGGTCATTTGCATTTTTTTGTAGAGCGCCGTTGAGGCCACTGGGAGCTTTGTCTGTGTCCTCAGGGTCACCTGAGTGGTGCAAATGGGTGTATGGAGCCTTCTTGGCTGCTGGATGCTTTCGGCCCTGGGTCCCTCCTGCATCCAAGAAGGCGCCACACCTGAAGGACACCTTAAGGACGCAGATAAACCTCCAAGTGGCCTCAACGGCTCTCTAAAAGAAAGCAAATGACCAGCCATCTACAAGGAGTATAAATCCTTCCATTCCCCACCATCCTTTTTCCCATTGAAGATGTTTCCCTTCTCATCGAAGAAGCTTCTTCAGCTCCGACTGGATGGTGGGGAATGGAAGGACTTATACTCTTTGCAGACTGCTGGTCATTTGCCTTCTTTTAGAGAGTCGTTGAAGCCACTTGGAGGTTTCTCTGTGCCCTTAGGGTCACCTGAGTGGTGCAAATGGGTGTGGAGCCGCCTTGGCTGCAGGATGCTTTCAGCCCTGGGTCCCTCCTGCATCCAAGAAGGCATCACACCTGAAGGACACCTTAAGGACACAGATAAACCTCCAAGTGGTCTCAATGGCCCTCTAAAAGAAGGCAAATGACCCTTCCATTTCCCCACCATTCGGTCGGAGCTGAAGAAGCTTCTTGGGAAGCTGAGGGGAAAGGGAGAGGTTTCCAAGCTGAGCCATGCTTGGTTAGGAATTCTGGGAGTTGAAGTCCACGAGTCATAAAAGAGCCAAGGTGGCCTACCCCTGCCCTATACCATTTCAGTCACAAATGGTTGTCCAGTCTCATCTTCAAAATTTCCAGTGTTGGAGCGTTCACCGCTTCTGGAGGCAGGCTGTTCCACCGGTTAATTATCCTCACTCTCAGGAAATTTCTCCTTAGTTCTAGGTTGCTTCTCTCCTTGATTAGTTTCCACCCGTTGCTTCTCGTCCTGCCTTCCGGCACTTTGGAGAATAGCTTGACTCCCTCTTTTTTGGGGCAGCCCCTGAGATGCTGGAAGGCTGCTATCCTGTCCCCCCTTGTCCTTCTCTTCGTTAAACTAGACATACCCAATTCCAGCAGCCGTTCCTTATATGTTTTAGCCTCCGGTCCCCTGATCATCTTTGTTGCTCTTCTCTGTACTCTTTCTAGAGTCTCAACATCTTTTTGACATCGTGGTGACCAAAACTGGATGCCGTATTCCAAGTGTGGCCTTACCAAGGCATTGTAAAGCGGTATTAGCACTTCACGTTTGTCTTGCTATGCTGGGGCATCAGCTTGGGAAGTGGCTGTTTTGTTTCTCCAGTTTACAGATCTGCGGAGGGCTCGCTGCATCGTACTCCATCTACCATGTTAATTCAGGGGTCCCCCCCCCCAACCCGCCAGTCCGTAGCATGCCAGGAACCGGTCGGCGCAAACAAGCGAAGCAGGCAGCATGTGCAACCTCTCTCCGCAGAAGAGTCCCTGTGGGGGACGCTGCAGTTTAACTGGCTTCAAAAGGGTCTTGTGAACCCAGACAGGGAATCCACACCCGGGTCTCCTCCCTTTGCGAAGGGCAGCTGGATGCCAGCGGGGTTCCTACCGCTAACGGTCAAGGGGATCTAGGTGTGGATAATCCGGTGACATTCAGAGTTTGGGGGGGGGGGGAATCAAGATGGACAGTCTCCAAGGGCTGGTCCTGTTGCACCCTCGCAGCCAACCCAGTCATAGAGGGAGACTCCCATTGAGGGGCAGTCGCACCGTGCAACAGGCAGGCCAGAATGTGTCCGTAAGCAAAGCCTGACATTCAGCGACTTGGTTGCCTGGCTTCCTCCCTACCCCTCAAGCCAACATTGTTTGTGCAAGCCACGACACTCTCCTTTAGGGGGGGGGTCCATGTTTGTCTGCCCAGTTGCCAGCCTAAGAACCCTCTGGATCCCTTAAGCACTAAAAACAGTAAACCTGTCAAGCCAGGGAATTCTGGGAGTTGAAGTCCACCCGTCTTAAAGGGGACGAGCTTGAGATAGGCTGCATGGGGAGCCTGGCCCCACAGAGAAGCAGATTCCACCCACCCCCCGGGACCGTCCCTCTTTCCTTCCCCCCACTCCTTTCTACCCACTGGATGCCCAATCCAGTTTCCCCAAATCCTGAATGACCAGCCGCATTGTATCTCTCCACTGTACAGGTAAATCCTCGACGTACGACCGTTTCTTCAGCCGCCGTGCGGTTACAACAGCGCTGACAAAAAAAGGATCATTTTTCACACTTACATCCATTGCAGCGTCCCGGCGGACACGTGATCAAAATTCAGACGCTCGGCATCTGACTCGTATTTATGACGGTTGCAGCGTCCCGGGGTCACGTGATCAAATTTCGGGACGCTTGGCAACCGACTCATATTTGTGACGCTTGCTGTGTCCCAGCGGGGAAGGGGGGGGAGAGATCGCTTAAGGAGGGGAAACTCAATTTGCTTAACGATGGTGTGACTAATTTTAAGGTCTGCAGCGATGCACTTAACAAATGTGTAAAATGGGACAAAACTCACTTGAACCGATTTCTCACTTCCAGGGTGAATTGTGATCGTACGTGGAGGACTCTCTGTATTTAATATACTACCTTGATCCTCCAGTAAGACTCCCCCCCCCCAAAAAAAAACACAACCCCAATGCGCTTAACAAATGTGTAAAATGGGACAAAACTCACTTGAACCGATTTCTCACTTCCAGGCTGAATTGTGATCGTACGTGGAGGACTCCCTGTATTTAATATACTACCTTGATCCTCCAGTAAGACTCCCAAAAAACAAAAAAACACAACCCCACCACTAGGCAGGAATTATTGCCTCTTCTTTGCAGCATACCCAAAGCCATCGGCAACCCATCAAATCTGGCAAGGCCAAACCTGCTGGGAGAAGCTTTTTTTTTTTTTTTCTTCCTTCTCTAACTTCGAGCCAGTGAATTTTTCCTCTCTTTCGGCTTTTTCCCTCTCTAGCTGAATTCCCTTTCTCTTCAGTAAATTCCTTTTGACTATTCGGATGGTGTGGCCAAAGTATTCGGGGCTCCGCGGGCAAACTACAGGTAGACCCACAACGGAGCTCAAACTTTCCATGGGCTGAGCAAGGCGATTTGGTGAGTTGTGTGCCCCATAAATACGAGTCGATGGCCGAGCGTCGGAATTTTGACCCCGGGACATTGCGACCGTCATATGAGTCACTTCCCAAGTGTCTGAATTTTGATCACGTGACACCAGGATGCTGCAACCATCATAAATAGGAGTCAGTTGCCAAGTGTTTGTATTTTGATCATGTGACCCTGGGATATTACAACCGTCATAACTACGAGTCAGTTGCTGAATGTCGGAATTTTGATCATGTGACCCCAGGATGCTGCAACCGTCATAAATACGAGTCGGTTGCCAAGCGTCTGAATTTTGATCACGTGACCCTGGGACATTGCGACCGTCATGAATACAAGTCAGTTGCCAAGCGTCTGAATTTTAATTAGCGATTCTGGGACACTCCATCATAAAGAGGAGCCTGTTGCCGAGCGTCTGAATTTTGATCACGTGAAGCCCAAGAATGCTGCAACGGTTGTTAAGTGTGAAAAACGATCACAATTCTGTTTTCAGGGCCGTTGTAACTTTAAACGGCCACTAGACGAAACTGTGGTAAAGTTGAGGACTACTTAATATTAATAATTACCGACCGGCTAGCCTCTGGATGCCTTTAGCCCCCAAGCATTATTTAATAAGTGGCACTGCTTGGGTATCTCGTCAATTTCAAGGTAGCATTTTGGGACACATCAGCCTGTTCACAAACCTTGGTGGAAGTGGTACTTGGCAAGAGTGACAGCAGCTCCTGCCAGCTTGTGAGGTGGGATGTGGCAGGACCAGCTTTTTTCTTTTTCCACAAGTTAACACAACTAAAGCAATTGGGAAAACACAATGGCCTGGGTTCACACCATCCCGATAAGTCACACGGGCTGCATTTGGACCCAACCCAACATCTGCCTGGCAGAGGCACGGGTCCCGTGTACCCATTTCCTGTGGCGGGGTGGGGGGGTTTACAGCTTTCAAAATTATCGTCAAAAGTTTAGAATACTTGTAGCTGGGTTGAATTGTGGGTGTTCTTGTGACCTCTGAGTTGGGTGGTGTTCTTGCAGACGTTTTGTGACCCAACTAGTGTAACATCATCAGTGCTAGAAGGGAGAGGGGTTTGTGGAGAGGAGGACTGTGGGTCCTTGGAACTCTCTTGAGTTTGGTGGTTTTCTTGCAGACATTTCATGGCCCAACTAGGTAACATCATCAGTGTTAGAAGGGAGGGGGGTTGCTCTTTGTTTATATACAGTGCCTTGCCCTGTCATTGTTCCTGGCCCTTCCTTGATTAAACTATTGTTTACCGCTTGAGTTTTGGTCTGCTATTAATATTGGTGTTGATCTCTGCTTATTTGGGTGTCGATTGCTAGCCCGGAGGTGTTTTGACCTCCTCGTTTCCTTCTTAGCTTTTGGATTGTCTGTTCTGAATGGCGGGTAAATGTCATTTATCTCTAGTGTGCCTGTCGACGGCTGATTTTTTTTTCCAAGTGCCGAAGGACCAGAACTTCTCCGGCATTTTTGAGACGTCGCTTCGTCTAAAACGCTAAAGTCTCCCAATTGAAACGACGATGGCGTTTCTCCACGTGTTGTGCAACTGCTATTATTATATTTATCGGGCCACCCGAATAAATTCACAGCCCTCCTACCTTCTGCATATAGATATATTACAGCTTATCAAACTTTCAGGGAGATATGTGTTTGTGTGTGTGTCATTTCCTTGCATGCACAACCTCATTATAATTTTTTAATCAAGGGAAAAGAGGGAGCACAGAGAGCAGAGACTTTACACAAACTAAAAAAAAAAAAAAGCAAAGAGCTCTTTTCTTTCAGCTACCCATTCCCCAAGTTTCAGCTTTTCGGGCACGTTTTCCCCAAGGCATAACGACAGAGCTTATAAAACAGCATACAAATCGAGCATAACGAAAAAGCAAGATAGTCCGATCACCACTTTGGGTTCTTCTTCTTCTTGTCTACCTTCTCTGTCTCTCCCCCCCCCCGCCTATCCCGACAACCACGTTCCCACAATGGTCTCGGAGGTGATGCAAGCCAGCCAAGATACAACGGCGTCTTCCTGGAGGTCTTTTGAGCCTCAAAATAAGAGGGAAAAAAAAAAAGCTGCAGGGGATTCGGGAAGCCCGGCAGTGATCCAACTGAAATCCTGTCTTGTCCTGTCTTTACGTGGGAATTGCAGAATTAACAGAGTCGGAAAGGGCCGTGGAGATCTTCTACTCCAAACCTCTATTTGAGCAGGAGACCCGACACCCTTCAGGACAAATGGAGGTCCAGTCTATTCTTGAAAACCTCCAGTGATGGAGCATCCACAAGTTCTGGAGGCGAGCCGTTCCACTTATCAAACTTGGATCTGGCTGGGGAAGGCAAAAGAGAGTCCAAGACAAACGGGGGCGATTCGTTTCTTGATCTAATATCCACATCTTCATGATGGCGAGCCGCCAAAGAAGCCTCCCAAAATAAAATCGCCTCTGCCCCATTTGCTCCTAGTTGCACATCCTTCTACAACGTGAAACACAAGAGTTGGTCACAGACCGAATGAAGACGAAGGTGATCAGTCAGCACGTTGCCCATCAACAACTAAGGACCTTCCAGGGCTGATCAAAGGCCGATTCAGGACCTTCGAAAGCCAATTTAGGATCTTCCGGAGCTGATCGAAGGCCGACTCGGAATCTTCACGAACTGATCGAAGGCGAATTCGGGAGCTTCGACGGCTGATCTTCAGCATCTTCGGTGGCTGATCTTCACGGGCTGATCAAAGGCTGACTCGGGACCTTCAAGGGCTGATCGACGTTTTTTTTTTTCTTTCCAGCTGAACAGAATCGTCGTCAGCCCAATTCCCCTAGGAACAAAATCCACCAAGAAGGGAGGCTACAAACAGGAGCTCAGCCCCATCCCTTGATGACACCGCTCCCCCCCCCCCGAGAGTTCAACTTCTGCATCTGAATTGACGGACGAGCCTGAACGAAAAGGGTGAGGTGGGGCGGAGTCCCTGTTGCATCGGTGATCAGGAAGTGGGCGTCCCTTTCAGGAGGGCCAAGGGCCGCCCCGCGGTTTCCGAGGGAGGCGCCGGAGGCAAGGCGCAGCAGTGCTGCAGGAGGCGCTGTTTGCAGGCAAAAGCCTTGGGGCAGAGGGCGCACTTGTAGGGCTTCTCCCCCGTGTGGGTGCGGAGGTGCTTCTGCAGGTGGTGCTTCTGCATGAAACTCTTCGGGCAGAGCGGGCACTGGTGGGGCCGCTCCCGCGTGTGGGTGCGCTGGTGTTTGGCCAGGTGATGCCGGCGGACGAAGTGCTTCCCGCAGTCCGTGCAGTGGAAGGGGCGCTCTCCCGTGTGGGTCCGGAAGTGATTGGTCAGTTTGCTTTTGTCCGTGAAGCTCTTCTCGCAGGCCGGACACTGGTGAGGCCGGGCGCCCGTGTGGCTCATCTGGTGACGGAGCAAGTGGTCCGAGCGGCCGAAACGCCGGGGACAGTAGGGGCAGCCCAGCAGGTCCTTGGGGACGGGCTCGGCCGGCGCTTCCCGGTGGGTGTTCTGATGGAGCAGCAGGTGGACGTGGAGCCGGAAGCGTTGGTGGCACAGGGGACAAGCCCACAGCCCCTCTCCCGGCTGATGTCCCGTCTCTTGAGGGGGCATCAGGGGGCTTCCATTCATGAGTGGGGACGAGAGGTTTCGTCCCGGAGAGGTGAGACCGCCGTAACTTTGCGTCTGCTCTTGGTGGCCAATCTGACAGTTCCGGTGGACCTCTTCCGCCGGACTGCCCTCATTGGCACTGGCCGTCTCCTCCGGAGTGTCTCTCGGCCACAGACAGGAATCGAAGTCCTCTTCTTTCTTTATAATCCTTTCTACGAATGATTCTTCCGGCACCATCCAGGTCTCGTGGGCTTCCGAGTCATCCTCTGGCTCCGTTTTGATTAAGACGTGATTTGTCGCGAGGGCTGCGGGAAATAAGGACAGCATAAACCCAACATTCGTCATGGCTTGGTCCCACCACACATAAGGAACGCACAAGCACATTCCCCCAAACCAGGATTTCTCAACCGCGACAACATCCAAGGTGGGTGGGCTTCAACTCCCAGAATTCCCGAGGCAGCTTTAGGGAATCCTGGGAGTTGAAGACCCCCCATTTTGAAATTGCCAGAGTTGAGAAATATGGCCCCCGAACCCTGTCATCTTTTTTAAAAAATTCTGTTTCCTAGGTAGTATAAATCAGCGTTTCTCCACCTCGGCGACTTTCAGATCCCAGAATTCCCTTGCAGGCTAGTTGGGGAATTCTGGGAGTTGAAGTCCGCCCGACTTAGCGAGTTTCTGAGAAACAATGCTGGGGATCATTACAGAGATTTGAAGTCGACGGACTCTACATAAAACTCAAAACTCTGCAGTAAAGCCAAAAAAGACCGTAGAGAAGAATTGGGAATGAAGGTAAAACAGACCGACGTTTCATTCCACGTTAAGATGATTTTGAGCGACCGGTTCTGGGGGCAGCTTTCGCAAAATGACCCCCCCTCTCTCTCTCTCGTACACGAGACACGGATAGTACACGGCTGAAGGCAGATCACATCAAGCAAATACAAGCGAAAAAGGCTTCCTAATTTGACAAGGATGTTGGGTCCACATGCTTGGCTTTCACGGATGGTGGCGCGCGAGGACAGGACGGATCGTTTTGATGACCACAGTTAAATAATTTTATTAAATTGACAGGCCGCCAAACTCTGAGCGACTTTGGGCGGTTTACAAGTGGTTTAAAAGGACTTGAAACATTTGGAAACAAGTAACAATTACAAAGAACGACAAGGAAAAAGATGGTGAAGAATTAAACCCAGATTGAACGAGGGAGGAGGAGGAAGACGATGCTACCCAACTAAGTAACATTATCAGTGCTACAAGGGAGTGGGACGTGTGAAGAAGAGGAGAAGGACTGTGGGGTCCTTGGTGTTCTCCGAGCTTGGTGGTTTTCTTGCAGACGTTTCATGACCCAACTAGGGAATATCATCAATGCCAAAAGGCTTGCGTTAGAAAGCTTCTAGCACTGATGATGTTACCTAGTTGGGTCATGAAACGTCTACAAAAAAACAGCCAAACCCAGAGAGGATCTAGGACCCCATAGTCGTCGTCGCCCTCCTCCCCACAACCCTCCCCTTCCTTCTAGCACTGATGATGTTCACTACCTGGGTCATTAAATGTCTGCAAGAAAACCACCAAGCAAGTGGGACACTCAGAGGCCCAGTTGATTTAGGAATTTGTCTCTCGTCCCCCGGGACCAACAACGAAGATGGACACCAGAGACTTAAAAGGACCACCAGTTTTGATGGATACGACCTGGGCATTTGGACTTTGTAAAACGATGGATATAAATATTTTACCGCACCTAAAAAGATTAATCCAACAACATTTAACAGATCTGCAATTATTATTTGACTGGGCTGGCGTCACCCTGCAACTCACACGTGCCTCGCTTAGTTTGGGTTGAACCAGCAGATCCCGGCAATTTGGCTAATTTCTTCAAAAGAGCCGAAGAAAGAATTCATGGCTTGTTTAGCAAGTGATGCAACCAGGATTGTGGCTCCCTCTAAGAAGGACAAACCAGAACAACTGGTTTAACTGGAACAGGTCAAACCATCCCTTGTTTGGTAGCCTGAAAGCATCCGTAGGAAAAAATTGTGTTTTGTTCAGGGCTAAGACACGTTATGGCTTAATTTAAGCCCCCCCCCCCCAAAAGGACAGTGTTCCTGAAATTCTTTCCATTTCTTTTTAAAAATACATTTATCAGAGTCTTTTAAAGCATTTTGAGAATCAACCACTTCTTAATGTATTCTGGAAAAGGATTTTGGGGGCAGTTATAAGATGTTCTTGATTGTTTCGGCAGTTTTGACACGATCAAAAAAAGGTAACACACGTGCCCCGAACTCTGATCCACAGTCGGGGGGCGGAGGGGGGAAACAAGGGCAGCACACAAAGCCGTTTCTTCACATCTCTAGTTTATTTCTCAGTTTCCACAGAACAACAAAGGAAAAAAAAAAAAAAGAAATCCAGAAAATATACATTAAAAAAAAGAAAGAAAGAAGTGTTCCGCTCAGACCCATTAGCGTTCGCCCACCGGCGAACTGAGAGGTCGACTCCGGACAGTCCCCCCGTTTCGAGGACTTTGACGTGGAGACCTTTGCGGTTAGGGGACAACACAATGCCTACAGTATTGTACACTGCAAATAAGACCGAAACAACAATCCTGGAAATGCTTGCTTCCTAACCCCTTTCGGTTAGCTTTCGCCATTCACAAGCATCGTTCAGAAAGACACTCCCGTACAAAAAGGTTCCCGCTGCGACGGAGTGCCGATGTCTCCGGAACTCCGAACTCTGGGATAGAGAGGGGGAGTCTGCTCTTGAGGTAGCCTGGCGTCCCCGCAGGGCCGGACTAGATGAAGATGGCATCAAGTAGGGCTTCTCGGACAGCCGTACCCATCAGCCTGTTCTGCTCCCGAAGGTGGATTTTCTGATGTTGGAGGAGATGCTGTTTCTGGGTGAAACTTTTATCGCATTCGTCGCAACGGTAGGGCCTCTCTCCGGTGTGTATGCGTTGATGCCGGACCAGGTCCGAGGGGTGGCTGAAGTTCTTGCCGCAGTAGAGGCAGGCCAGGGAGCTGCCGCCGCGCCCGGTATGCAGCCGCTGATGCGTGACGAGGCTCTTCTTTTGGGAGAAGCTCTCCGGGCACCGGCTACAGCGATACGGCCGCTCGCGCCCATGACCCTTGGGGTGCTGCCGATAGGACGACTTGACGTTGAAGGTCTTCACACACTTGGCGCCGCCGTACGGCTTGTCCGCGCCCGGCCCCCGAGGGAGGGGCTTCAAATTATGGCTTTGCTTGAAGGTCTCCGCGCAGGCCACCGAGGTGTACCCGCCGCCCCCGGTGTGGATATGCTGGTGCAGGGTGAACTGTTGCTTGTAGGTGAAGCTCTTTTCGCAGGACGCCGGCGGGGCGCCGTGGCTTTTCTGGTGAGACGCCAGGCTCTTGTAAAGGCGGAAGCGTTTCCCGCAATCAGGACAAGCAAACATTTTGTCCTCCGGGCAGTGACGCGGCTCCGTCGGGCTGGTTAGACCGCCACTAGGGCCGAAACCACCTTCGCCGGGCAAGGCTTCTTCTTCTTCTGGTCCGGGATTCTCGGCGTGCCTTCGCTGCTGCACAAACGCGGAGTAGCGGCTGCCGACGGAGGCTGCTTGCGAGTGAGGGTGGAGAAGCGTCTCGTCCGTGCATTTGAGCCCCAAGCTTTCGCACAGCGCTCGCTGAGCTTGGAGAACCTCGGCTTTGAAGGCCAGCCCGTCATCTGGGGGGATTGAAAGAAAAGGTCATGGGGTCATGCTTCTCCAACGGACCCGGCCTCCTCTACCCCAGCGGGCTGTCCTGGTCAATTGGGCCAGAAGACCCCCTCCACGGTCCAGCCTTGCTGCAGCACACCTGCCTACATGCCGCATTACAAGGCCACCCAGCCTCTGTCTTTCCTGCCCAGTGGGTAATGGTGGTTTGTTTTCCTTTGGCCAGAAGGAAACGCTGCCGGATCTGGCTGTGCACGATGGGAGGAAGCCAACCTGCCCTTCCTTGCTCCCCTCCTTTCAAGAATGGAACCCAATTCTGGGGGGGGGGGAAATGGGGATGAGGAGGAGCTGCTTTGAATTCTAAAAGATTGCTCACGCCCAAATAACCCAGTGGGGAATCACTTCGGCCAACCATCTGGAAGCTCCCTTTAGTGCTGGGACTTTTGCTTTTCAAGAGTGATTGGATATACAGGCAGTCCTCGACTCACGTCCGAAATGGAGCCTGCGTAATTGTTAAGGGAAGCGCCCACCCGCTCGCTTCATTTATGACTCTTCATCTCCAGGATGCGGTCATTAAATCACCACGTGGGTTGTTGAGCGGTACCCAGAGGGGCCCTGGGAGTTCCAGCACAGGCCTGCTCCAGGCTTACCAAGGCCCTCCACAACCGGAGGCGCCCCGTGCTACGCTTCCCACACCCTCCTCCTTACCAAGAGTCACCCCGTTGTCCACTTAACTTTCGAAGATCTCCACAGCTCGCCCCTGCGAAGCAAAGCAGGTTGCGTCGTTCCTGGGCCGCGAGGCGCATGTCCAGAAGCAGCTGCATTTTCGGAGTGCCCACAATTCGTTTTACGGCAGCAACCGCTTCCTGGACCGCACCGCCCGGCCCAGCCAATGAAGTAGCCAGGCCTCTCTCCCTGACCTGAGCAATGGAGCTCCAGAGATCGTCGAAAGATAATCGAGGAGGAGGATGTAGGACCGGGTCGGGTGGGAAGCAGACCCAAGGTTTGCAGGGGAAAGAATGGGGGACGGGGAGGAGGCTGTAGGGTTCCTGCAGTGGGTCGTTAAGCGTGAACGGCTGCACAGATGCCGCAGTGGCCATTAACTCCTGAGCTGGGTTGTGTTAGGTAGGTCTGCCCTCATTGTGAACCGTCACTGGGGTTATCCCAAAAGGGCTTTGGCAGCTGGGCTTTCTTGATTTATTTTTCTCCTCCCCCCCCCCTTGAAAACAAGTTTCGCTTCTCATCCAAGAAGCTTCTTCGGCTGTGAAGGAGACCGAAGAACCGAAGAAGCTTTCGAACGGGAAGATGAGAAGTCGAATGTTTTCCAGGAAAAAACAAAAAACAAAAAAACCTAAAGGTCGAATTTGTCTTTTGGAAGAAAACAACAACAAGCCTGACTTGGAGGTTTGAGAATCTCCACAGACGTCACGAAGATCGTAAGTTGAGGATTACCTGTAATTTATCAAGGATTAGCTTTACGGCCGGGCGCATAACAGGGTGCATCTGGGGCATCACCCTGCCCACCTCACCCTGGATCATCGCACCCCACCCCGTCCGGGAACGTGACCTGTCTTCTCGGATCAGAGGACAAGCAGGTCAATCACCATCGTCGGCGCGTTTGAGCAAATCTTGAAGATGGAAAGACGAAAGGAAGCAACGTGACCTTCCTTTTGTCCCCACCCCACTCCGAGACACCTGTGGGAAAAAGCCCAAAACAGGAAGGGGATTCCGTTGGTCCTTACGTGAAGTTCTTTGCTTTCCCAGCTACTCCTCGCCGCTCGCCGACCTGCTCGTCCCATCCCAGCTCTTTCTCCAGGTGGCCTCTAAGCCAGCCTTGCCCAATCTGCAGGGTCTCAACCTTGGCCGTCGCCTCTGGCCTCTGCCAGCCTCCGGAGCTCCCAACTCTCACCAGCTCTTCCCTGTGGATACGCCTGGAGGTCCTGGTCCCAGGGATCGGTTGCCCCCTCCCAAATCGGACGGGGGCGGGTGGCTTCGCGGTCCCCAACTTTTATGGCGTGGCAGGAGGGGACAGGGGAACTGGCCCGCCACTCACGCGACCTGAGCTGGGCACGTGCCAGCCAGCGGCTCGCGCGGCCCGGTGATGCGCCGCAGCCCAGGGGTTGGGTAGCTCCAGCGTAGGCGGTTAGGACAAAGCTGCCTGGATGCATCAATGGAGATAATCTCCTTTCGTCTGTAATTATTGTGAGGGTCGCTGGACGGCGAGGTGGGCAGCGTATAAATGTAATAAATTACAAATTTAATAAGTAGATTAGGATAGACTCCGTGACTCGTCCTGGGACCAAGAGATCAAGGTTTTACAAAGGAGGTATAGCATGGCAGAGGAGGGGAAATTATAGGCAAAGGATCCCTTGTGGGATCTGGGTGGGGAGACCCCACACTCACGTCGGCCCTCCCAGTGGAAAATGTTCGGGGACCATTGCACCCAAATCTAGGCTCCACAGGTAGCCAAAGCAGCCCAAGACACTCCCCCTCAACCACAGCCTCTCAGAAGCAAAACCACGTCAAAAATAGCTCAGATGCCACCCCGAGAGAAGGGGCAGTGGGCTAGCAAGGAACGGCAGAAACTCACCCCTAGCCAGAAAGCAAACACGGTCCCTTCCCAACCACCGACGTGAACTCCGAGCAGCTTCAGTTTGTCCCGTGAAATTTGCAGGACTGAGCAGTGGGGAAGGGGATCCTCTGCTCCTCAAGGTGGGGTGGGCGGTGGAAAGAGACCCTCCCCCTTTAAGATAACCAAAGCCTTTCCCTGCCTCTTCCCATACGAGTGCAGTCGGTTTGGTGAGATTCTTGCAAACAGGCACGCAGCAATCAAGAAGCAACTTGAATCAGCTCACAGCGTCGTGCTGGTTCTTTTGCGTCTGACGAAAACTCAGATAACTAGATGGGGTTTTTTTGTTGTTGTTCTTGGGAACGCACACCCACTCCTTCCTCCATCCTCATGTGTTCTGCCCTGCCTAAAAGAACCCCACGCGGGGGGAGGGGAAAGTAAACACTACTCTGGGCATAAAGTGAAAGTACATCCACGCCCTTTGCTTCAGACTGCACACCAACATCAAAGCTTCCAATGTAACTGAATCATCTGTCATGTGTCTTGAGGGTTAGGGCAGCGGTCCCCAACTTTTCTGGCTTGGCCATCACTCACACAAAGGAAGCTTCGCACATGAGCACAAGTGGCCGCCACTCGCGCAAAGGGAGTTGCGCGCAGGAGGGCTAACGGCCATCACTTGCGCAACGAGAGCTTTGCACGTGTCCGAGGCCACCACTCTCACAAAAAGAGCTGCACGCGTGAGAGCTAACGTTCCCTGCCTAAGTGAAGGGAGCTTCGCGTGTGAGTTGCTACTATCACAAAAAGAGCTATGTGTGAGGGCTAACAGCTGCCGCACAAACGAAGGGAGCTTCGCACGTGAGCACAAGCAGCCGCCACTCGTGGAAAGAGAGCTGTGCGTGCGAGGATTAACCACCGCTCAAACGAAGGGAGCTTCGCGCATGAGCACAAGCAGCCACCACTCTCACAAAAAGAGCTATGCGCACGAGGGCTAACAGCCATCACTCGAACAAAGGGAGCTTCACGCATGAGTGCAAGTGGCCGACACTCTCACAAAAGGACCTGTCCGCGCGAAGGTTACTGACCACCGCTCGAACGAAGGGAGCTTCGTGCGTGAGCACAAGCAGCTGCCATTCTCGCAAAAGGAGCTGTGCGCACGAGGGCTAACAGCCACCGCTCAAACGAAGAGAGCTTTTCCACGTGAGCACAAGCGGCCGCCACTCGTGGAAAGGGAGCTGCATGCACGAGGACTAACGGCCACTGCTTGAACAAAGGGAGCTTCGTGCATGAGCACAAGTGGCCGCCACTCTCGCAAAAGGAGCTAAGTGCGTGAGGACTAATGGCTACCGCTTGAAGGGAGCTACGCGCACAAGGACTAATGGCCACCGCTCAAAGGGAGCTTCACGCGTAAGCACAAGCGGCCGCCACTCTCGCAAAAGGAGCTGCGCATGCGAGGGCTAACGGCCACTGCTCGAACGGACAGAGCTTCACGCGTGAGCACAAGCGGCCGCCACTCTCGCAAAAGGAGCTGTGCACGCTAACAGCCACCACTTGAGTGAAGGGAGCTTTGCGCGTGAGCACAAGGGCCGCTACTCTCACAAAAGGAGTTGTGCGCGAGAGAGCTAACGGCCACCGCTTGAATTAAGGAAGCTTTGCATGTGAGCACAAGGAGCTGCCACTCTCACAAAAGGAGCTGTGCGTGCGAGGGCTAACAGCCACTGCTCAAACGAAGGGAGCTTCGCGCATGAGTATAAGGGGCCGCCACTCTCACAAAAGGAGCTGTGCGCGCGAGGGCTAACGGCCACCACTTGAATGAAGGGAACTTCACGCATGAGCACAAGTGGCTGCCACTGTCACAAAAGGAGCTGTGCGCGCGAGGGCTAACCACCGCTCAAACGAAGGGAGCTTGGCGCATGAGCACAAGCAGCCGCCACTCATGGAAAGAGAGCTGTGCGTGCGTGGATTAACCACCGCTCAAACGAAGGGAGCTTCGCGCATGAGCACAAGCAGCCGCCACTCTCACAAAATGAGCTATGCGCGCGAGGGCTAACGGCCATCACTCGAACGAAGGGAGCTTGACGCTGGAGCACAAGCGGCCGCCACTCTTGCAAAAGGACAAGTGCGCGTGAGGGCTAACCGCCACCACTCGAACGAAGGGAGCAACTTTTGCAAAAGGGGCTGCGCGCCCAGTGCTAACGGGCACTGCTCACAAAAGAGAGCTTCCGGTGTGCGCTTGCCCGTCACTTGTGCGGCCCAGTTCCAAACAGGCCACGGCCTGGTAATGGGTCGTGGCCCAGAGGTTGGGGACCCCTGGGTTAGGGAGATGGCCACACCTCTGGAGACATCCCAAAGGTGCTTTTTCAAAAGCTAACTGGAGTTTTCTTGATTTTTTTTTTTTATCCCCCGTGAAAACATTTCGCTTCTCTTCCAAGCAGCTGCTTTTTCTCGGAGGAGAAGCGAGACGTTTTTAAGGGGAAAAGCCATGAAAATTGTCCAGTTGTCTTTTGAAAAAGCACCTTTGGGAAACCTGGGATCTGGTGGATGGAAAAATCTCCGTAGACACCTCTGGAGACAGGTTCTAAACATCGGGATGGGCTGGCTTCCCAGACGGGATCGTTGCAAAACGGAGGCGAGACACAGAACCCCCTCCCCCCCCCTCCAGAATGTTTTAGCCTGCGCAGGTAGTCCTCAACTTACGACTCCGATTGGGAGCAGAATTTCTGCAGCTAAGAGGATTGTTCCGTTGTTAATGATTGTATGACCTTTCGGGGTCACCGTTGTTAAGCAAATCATGTGGTCATTCAGCGAATCTAGCTTCCCCCGCTCGGTTGTCAGAAGCCAGGTGGCAAAATGGCGAATACACACACACACACACACACACACACACGCCGGGATGCTGCAACCGTCATAAATACCCGCTTGAATCTTGATCACGCGACGGAGAGGATGCCGCGACAGAGTGATAGACAGATGCCAATCAAGGGAACGCAAAGGGAAGATGTGGATCAGGGTGGGGGGAACTCACTGAGGGAGGCTGGGCCTACAAAGCAGCAGGAAAGAACAACTGCCCTCTACACAAGCCCCAGAGGCTGCTATCAGCAGTAAACGGACGGGTAACCTGAAAGAATGAAGTGCACGGTGACACCTAAAAAAAAAAAAAGTCTGCAGGCCAGGAAAAGGAAAAACCACCGCAAGCCTCAAAGCACCCTCCAGAGTGGACAGTCTTCTCAGGGATGTGTGTATAGGTGTGTGTGTGCATGTGTGTAAACACAGCCCCCCCCACACACACACAGAAGCTGGAGTGGAATACAGGTAGTCCTCGACTTACGACCACAACTGAGCCTAATGTTTCCGTTGCCAAGCGAGACAGTGGTTACGTGGGCTGGGCGCCATTTGCCACCATGGTCCAGTGCATCCCTGCAGCCGCTAAGGTGGGAACCACGGTCGCTAAGTGAATCCGGCTTCCCGCTGGTCAGGTGGTCGCAAAAAGAGGACCAGGTGCGACCGCGGGACGCTGAGACCGTCATAAACAGGAACCATCTGCCAAGCATCTGAATTTCGACCTTTTTACCGCGGAGATGCTGCGACGGTTTCCAAGTCTGGAAAACAAGTCACTTTTTTTCCAAGGCTGTGGAAACGCTGGTCACTAAACGAACGGCTGTTCAGTCGAGGACTGCCTGTATCCAGGAGGCTTTTCTGGGTTCAAATGACCCCCCCCCCAAAATGGGTCTCGGTTTAGAAACCTGGGAACCGCTCAGGATTCAAGTCCAGCAAGACAAGTAAAAAAAAAAAAAAAAATACAGGGATGCCAACGGAAAGGCGGGCGGGATTTGTCCTCGCATCTCGGAGACTGCAACGCAAGGTGGTCCGTCCAGCGAGTTACTCACCCATGCTCGGCGGGAGGTGCAGCTCGCTTTTCTCCGAGAGGTCCGGGCCCTCCGCGTTCCCCTCCAGATCTCGCTTGCGTTGGGAGCCGAAGGACGTCTGGGCGACTCCATCGTCTGTTCAAGCAAAGAAAAGAAAGAAGGGACGTTCGCGGTGGGCGGGCCGGGGACTGCGTGGTCCGCCAAGGTGTTCTGCCGTTGTGTAGGAGAGGGAGGAATCGAGAGTCTTGCTTTCCTGAGGGACCAGCTGGGGAGGGGCCTTACAGATGGGAGAGATTAGATAGATAGATAGATAGATAGATAGATAGATAGATAGATAGATAGATAGATAGATAGATAGATAGATTTGATAGATAGATTTGATAGATAGACAGTGAGTGAGTAATAAAGATGAGATATTTATATAGATTAGATTAGATAGATAGATAGATAGATAGATAGATAGATAGATAGATAGATAGATTCATAGAGATAAATAGACAGAGAAGACAGACAGACAGGTGATTGATAGACAAATAGACAAATAGACATAGAGATAAATAGAGAAGATAGACAGTGATAGATAAAGATGAGATAGATATTTATATAGATTTGATAGATAGACAGTGAGTGAGTGATAAAGATGAGAGATATTTATATAGATTAGATAGATAGATAGATTCATAAAGATAAATAGACAGAGAAGACAGACAGGTGATAGATAGATAGATAGATAGATAGATAGATAGATAGATAGATAGACAGACAAATACACATAGAGATAAATAGACAAAGAAGATAGACAGGTGATAGACAGATAGACAGAGACAGGTGATAGATGATAGATAGATAGACAGACAGACATAGAGAGAGAGACAGAGACAGACAGACATAAAGATAAATAGAGAAGATAGACAGAGGTTATAGACAGACAGACACACAGACATAGAGATAGAGAGACAGAGAAACAGACAGACATAGAGAGAAATAGACAGACAGACAGGCGATAGATAGATAGATAGATAGATAGATAGACAGACAGAGATAGATAGATAGATAGATAGATAGATAGATAGATAGATAGATAGATAGATAGATGAAAGAAATGATATCAGGCATCTGACTATCTCCAAACAACTCCAGGCACTCCTCAATGTATGACCACACTACAGCCCGGAAATTTCTGTTGCTAGGGCAAGGCAGTAAGTTTTGCTCCACTTTACGAATTTTCTTGTCACCATTGCTACGTGAATTTTTTTTCCCATGAACCCGGGGGAGGACGCTGCGACGGTCGTTCATTGTAAAAAAAAAAAAAAAAAAAAAAAAAAAAAACCAACTGTCACTTCTTTCACTCGCGTCGCCATTTTGAACGGTCACTAAATGAACCGTTGTAAGCCGAGGACGGCCTGTCTTACGCTACGTTTCGCGTTCAAGGTTTCCCTAAAACGGAACGTGGTTTTTTTTCTCCCGATTCCGTTTCTTTACATTCTCACTTGTCCAGCAGATTTTCGTCGCACGGAAAGCCGAAAAAAAAAAAAGAGAGATTTTATGCTTGCATTCGGCAAGATTCTGTTGGCCGGAAACCTCACTGGGGCTGCCGACGCCGAAAAATCTGCCAAATATTCAACCGCGGTTAGCTTCCACTTACCGACCCCGGGTGTCTGTGGGACCCTCCGTCCTTCGCTGGGTTCCCCTTCTCGACCCCCGCGCGCGTGACCTCCGTCTTCCGGTGGGGAGGAGAGACAGGGTCTAAAAACTAGGATTTCTGTGTGGGGTGACAACAACAGGTAGATTTTCACGGGAGAATCGGGCCCCAGCGAGACTTTGTGCCTTCAACTCAATGACGAAATTCCCAGCTTAAAAAGATATTCCTTTATGGGTAATCCTTGATTTACGACTGCAGTCGAACCCCAAATTGACGTTGCTAAATGAGAAACCCGTCAGGCGACCTTTGCGCCCCGTTTTGCGACCTTTCTTGCCGCCCTCGTGAAGCGCCTCACTGCGGGGGTTACGTTAGCCGTACGGTCGTTAAGCAAAGCTGGCTTTCTCCCCCCCCCCTTGATTTTGCTGTTCAGAAAAGGGGACCCTGCGACTCGTCATAAATACGAGTCAGTTGCCAAGCGTCCGGAACTGGATCACCTGGCGATGCCGTGACGGTTATGTGAAAAACTTTTTCCCAGTGCCGTCGTAACTACGAAGCATCGCTAAATGAACGGCTGTAAATCGAGGACTGCCTGTAAATGCCGATTTTGGGGTGAAAACGTGGTAAATTTGGGTTGCGGGAACCCAGGCCAGGGGACCGGTTGCCCCAAACGCAAATGTGCGTATCTGACTATTCAGAACCGGGTTGTAAGCATCCTTTGGCGAGCCTGCCGTCACTTCAAACAGTCGTTAAGTCGAGGACTACCTATAACTCAACAATCCTGCCTTCTGTTTTGCACCCGGCGAGAGGCTGGCTGAGGAATTCTGGGAATTGAAGTCCACAAAGTTGCCGGGTTTGGAGACACCCCACCCCCAAGTCTAGCCCCTTCCTCCTTACCTGGGCTGGGCTCCGAAGATATCACCCTGTCCGTCGTCGCTGCCTCCTCTTCCTCGGCGCAGGGACGTTCGCCTTGCTCGATCCGGGACAGGAGATCCGGTTTAGCGATGGCATAGTCTAGTTGGAGAAAAGAGCACACCCCTTCGCAACCGTCGGTTACGCAACGCGAGGCAAGCCTGATTTGTAACGAAAAGTCGTTCTGGACTTATGACCTCGGGACACAGCAGCTGTCGGAATTCGTTGCTAGAATGTATTTTTGTGCAACTATAGTAGTATTCAGCCAGTAGGTGGCAGTGTTTGCAAGTTTTGGCTCTATGATATATACTCAGTGGTGGGATTCAAATATCGGAACAACTGGTTCTATTATGTGATGCAGGCCTGGGCCTCCAATGCCTAAGACGGACTTCCGGAAATGGTATCCATGCACTTCCGGTGGGCCGTTCTAGGCCTGGGAGGCCTCCTCCAGGCCTCTGAGGCCTAAAACGGACTTCCGGAAGTGGTATCCATGCACTTCCAGTGGGCCATTCTAGGCCTGGGAGGCCTCCTCCAGGCCTCTGAGGCCTAAAATGGATTCCGGAAGTGGTATCCATGCACTTCCAGTGGGCCGTTCTAGGCCTGGGAGGCCTCCTCCAGGCCTCCAAAGGCTAAAATGGACTTCCGGAAGTGGTATCCATGCACTTCCAATGGGCTGTTCTAGGCTTGGGAGGCCTCTTCCAGGCTTCCGATGCATAGAAGACTTCCGGAAGTAGCATCAATGCACTTCCGGTGGCCTGTTCTAGGCCTGGAAGGCCTCCTCCAGGCCTCTGAGGCCTAAAACGGACTTCCGGAAGTGGTATCCATGCACTTCCGGTGGGCCGTTCTAGGCCTGGGAGGCCTCCTCCAGGCTTCCGATGCGTAGAAGACTTCCGGAAGTAGCATCAATGCACTTCCGGTGGGCTGTTCTAGGCCTGGGAGGCCTCCTCCAGGCCTCTGAGGCCTAAAACGGACTTCCGGAAGTGGTATCCATGCACTTCCGGTGGGCCATTCTAGGCCTGGAAGGCCTCCAAGGCTTAGACTGGACTTCCAAAAGCCAACCGGTTCTCCGAATTCAGGTAAATTTAGCTACCGGTTCTCCCGAACCGGTGCGAACCGGCTGAATCCCACCACTGTATATACTCTAGGCCACAGGTCGGCAACCTGCAGCTCCAGAGCCGCATGCGGCTCTTTGAGCCTTCCCCTCTGGCTCCCAGCCTCCTCTGCCTTTGCAGAGAGAGATAGAGACAGAGAGAGGCAATTGCGCTTCCCTGCTTCTCTCTCTCTCTCTCTCTCTGTGTGTGTGTTTGTGTTTTTGTGTGTGTGTGTGTGTGTCTGTGTGTATATGTAAAAGAGAGTGCACTCACAGTATTCTCTGAGGAGCTGAAAAACTTACTGGGCGGAGCTCCTCCCTTTGCTGCGTCTCTGCAGGAAGCAGGAAGCAGGAAGGGCAGGAGAGAGCTAGCTAGCCCAGCTAGGCTGACTCAGGAATTCTGGGAGTTGAAGTCCATGAGTCATGAAAGAGACGAGGTTGCTTACCCCTGATCTTGTTGGACAATAGCTTGAAGCTTGCCAGGTGAGCAGCAGATAGGAGGGAGGGGAGAAAGAGAGAGAAAGAGAGAGGGAGGGAGGGAGGGAGACAGAGAGAGAGAGAGAGACCCTTTTGACATCTAAAATGAAAATAACACTGCATATATCCTTTTTTTAACCTGTGTGTTTATGTAATTTTATTCTCTTAAAGCATTCTCTTGGTGATCATTGTTTTAATAGTATGGATATTCCCAAGAGTCATATTTTTACTTTTTTTTTAGTGTGTGTGTGTGTGTGTGTGTGTACACACACACATACATACATACACACACACACGCGCGCGCGCACACACACACACACACTTATAATAAAGGTAAAAAAGGATATATGCAGTGTTATCTTCATTTTAGATATCAAAAGGGTTTTGCGGCTCCCGGTGTTTTGTTTTTGGTGGGAAACGGGTCCAAGTGGCTCGTTGAGTGTTTTGGGTTGCCTACCCCTGCTCTAGGCTGCTTCGTTCTACGTTGAGCTTCCTGTAACCGTTAAAAACAGTTGAGCAGTAAAGCACATGATGACAGTACCCTTTGCTTGCTCTGTGGTACTATAAACAGAATTCCTAACAGCAACAGTCATAAGTACCATGTTTCCCCCCCAAAAAGACCCGGTGTTATTGTTTTGGGGGGGTTGCCTCCAAAAGAGGAACCAGGTTTTATTTGGGGGGGGGCTCCTTTTCCACTTACCTCCGGCAACAACAGCCCCCGCCCAGCTGGCTCATTTCTTCTGCGGCCGAAGGAGGAGCTTCATTCTGTAGCTGAGAATGGAGCGCCGGCCTGCATTTCAGAGTCAGGCCTTTCCAGAAGGCCTCTGCAGCCGAGAACCGAGTTATGGATTCAATCCATAGCTCAGTGCTCGGCTGCAGAGGCCTTGCAGAGCCGAGTTACGGGCACGAAAGGCAGGCCTGGGGTACGCCGCAGAAGAAGAGGGCTAGCGAGGAGCAGCCTGGCTGCAAAATAAGTGGGTGCAGGGTGCGTGGGGCAGCTCCACCTCAGCTTGATTTTTAGCCGTGCGCCCCACCCCAAAACTAGGGCTTATTTTGAGGGGCAGGGCTTATATTAGGCCCACCCCCAAAACTCAAGCTAGGGCTTGTTTTCGGAGAAACACGGTAGGAGTCAGTTGTCCAGCATTTCAATTTCGATCACGTGACCGTGGGGATGATTGAAAGGTCGTAAGTGTGAAAAATGGTCGTTCAGTCAGTGCTGGTTTCAACGGTCACTGAATGAGCTGTCGTTAAGTCGAGGACGACCTGTACTTCAGCCAACTACTCTGTTTTGTTCTTAAGAGCTGTTCTTAAAACTAAGATGGGGCTGGCAGCATCCCACTTCGTTTAAAAATAAAATAAAATCCAACCCTACGGGAAAAATCCGATAGGAACTGAGAAGACGGTTCAGGTACACAAACAAAGGAGGAACCAGCATGTCTTTGGCTTCCCATCACCCTAGAAATCTATCCGTCGATACGTCGAGAATTGCAATTTACAAAACTGTATTCAATTTCAACGTTGTAGAAAAACGCCGTGAAAATGATTTCGGATGGACAACGCATCGCTGGCTTGTCAAATTTCACATTACGCTCCGTTCCCCCCAGCAGGTCCTCCTGACTAGTGAGTTTCTCGACATCTTTAAAGAGTCGAAGAGCGTTCTGACCCTCGCTGTCTCCAGCCCTTGGTCTAAACGAGAACAAGCCAGGATGGTTATCTCAAAAGGAAACTGAAAGCAAAGAGGAGAACTAGACGGAACAGGATCATGGCTGTCTTGTCATGTTCTCCAGATGTTCTCCTGAGGAACTTGTTAGGGACCAATCTGGAGAGAGGCCGTCATCTAGGCCAGGGGGTCTCCAATCGTGGCAACTTGTGGATCTCAACTCCCTGAATTTCCACGCCGGCTGGGAATTAAGAGAGGAATTGAGGTTGAGGTCCACAAGTCTCCACAATGTTCTCCAGAAGGTCTCCTGAGGAACTTTTAGAGACCAATCTGGAGGGAGGCTGTCACCTAGGCCAGGAGTCTCCAACCATGGTAACTTGTGGATCTCAACTCCCTGAAGTTCCACACCAGCTGGGAATTAAGAGAGGAATTGAGGTTGAGGTCCACAAGTCTCCACAATGTTCTCCAGAAGGTCTCCTGAGGAACTTTTAGGGACCAATCTGGATGGAGGCCATTACCTAGGCCAGGAGTCTCCAACCATGGCAACTTGTGGATCTCAACTCCCTGAATTTCCATGCCGGCTGGGAATTAAGAGAGGAATTGAGGCTGAGGTCCACAAGTCTCCACAATGTTCTCCAGAAAGTCTCCTGAGGAACTTTTAGGGACCAATCTGGAGGGAGGCTGTCACCTAGGCCGGGGGTCTCCAACCGTGGCAACTTGTGGATCTCAACTCCCTGAATTTCCATGCCGGCTGGGAATTAAGAGAGGAATTGAGGTTGAGGTCCACCAGTCTTTTAAAATTGCCAAGGCTGGAGACCTCCGATGGAGACAATTCTCCAGCACTGATCAAAGAAACCAAGCTTTGCATTTTCAACCCACTAGGAGCAAAAGCTGATTTTTTTTTTTTTTTTTTTACCCAGGGAGACCAGCGACTCGTAGTTGCTCTTCATCACGTTCTTGTAGAGTTCCTTCTGCCATTCCTCCAGGTTGCTCCACTCCTGCTCCGAGAAGTAGACGGCGTTCTCCTCAAAGGTCACGGGCACCTGGAAGAACATCAGTTACGGGTTTTGGATCTTCTCGACCGAGCCGCTGGTGACCAGCCAGATCACCGCGGACTCCACAATCAGCACTGTTCGGAGGGATAAGATGGTCCTCCATCTCAGCTATGAGGGTGGGAGGTGTAAATCTAGGAGAACGTCTTGTCCGACGGAGGTTGACCAGCCATTCAGGTGCCGCTAAATTGACTTAGTGCCGACCTTCACATTTCAGGTGGCGCCAAGCTCAACTCAAGATCCAAGATCAACGATGGGATGGGAGCGAACGCTCAACCAGCCAAGGTCTCGGACACAACTGGTGGGACTGGACAAAAGCCCAAGGGAACCGAGGTGGCTCCGTGGACTAAGAGCAGGTGGAGGAGATACATGGGAACAGTAGGGATCTGGACACGAGTCACCTCTCTTGAGGGAGCTGTGTTCAAGGTGCCGGTTGGTCACCACTGAAGTCCTACATGGCTTTTGTTTGAAGGACCATCTCGTTCCAGTTACACCCACCCGACCCACCAGAGCTGGAAGGCAGATGTGATGGGTTGTCCTCTCTTAAAAGAGGTCCATCTGTTTCCGGGATGACACAGCTGCTCTGATGATCACAGGCACTCACAAAAGCAATCAATCGTGTCTGCTTCCAGGATCACACACACCTCCTCCTCCTCCTCTTCTCCACAAACCCCCCTCCCTTCTAGCACTGATGAAGTTACCTAGCTGGGTCCTGAAACGTCTGCAAGAAAATCATCAAGCTCAGAAAGGGACAAAGACCCCATATTTCTCTCTTTTCCCTTCCCTTCCTTTCCTTCCTTCCTCCCTTCTAGCACTGAAGAAGTTACCTAGCTGGGTCACGAAACGTCTGCGAGAAAAACCACCCCATCTTCCTCCTCCTCCTCTTCTTCACGCACACCTCTCCCTTCTAGCACTGATGATGCTACCTAGTTGGGTCATGGAAGGTCTGCAAGGACACCACCGAGAGAGCACCAAGGACCTCAGAGTCCTCTCCTTCTCTCCCTCCCCGTCTCCTCCTCGTCCTCCCCTCTTCAACCCCACTCCCTTCTAACACTGATGAAGTTACCTAGCTGGATCGCGAAACGTCTGCAAGAAAAACCGCCCAGCTCAGAGAGTGCCAAAGATCCCATATTCTTTTTTTCTCCTCCTCCTCCTCCTCCTCCTCCCTCCCTCCCTCCCTCCCTCCCTCCCTCCCTTCCTTCCTTCCTTCCTTCCTTCCTTCCTTCCAGCAATGATGCCATTCCCCAGCTGGATCACGAAACGTCTACAAGAAAAACCACCCAGTTCAGAGAGCGCCCAGGACCCCACAGTCCTTTTTTTTTCCTCCTTCCTTCCTTCCTTCCTTCCTTCCCTTCCTCCCTCCTTCCTTCCTTCCTTCCTTCCTTCCTTCCTTCCTTCCTTCCTTCCTTCCTTCCTCCTCCCTTCTAGCACTGATGCTGTTCTCTAGTTGGGTCCTGAAACGTCTGCAAGGAAACCACCCAGCTCAGAGAGCCCCAAGGACCCCACAGTCTTTCTCCTCCTCTCAAGATTCTCTTCCATGCCTCTCCCGGGAGCGCTCCCCGCGAGAGGAAAACCCAGCCGCCTGCGTTCCCCCTCCTCTGACCTTGGGCGTCTCCCCCTTGGCGCCTGGCGGGAGTCTCAGGATCCAGAAGTTCTGGTTCTTCAGGAGGTTCTCCATGTTCTCCAGCCGGCGCTGGAGGAGCCCGTACTCCTGGATCAGGGTGCCCAGGGCGGTCAGCTTGCACTCCATCTGGTTGCCGAAGTCCACCACGGCGTTCTCGCAGTCCACGTATTTCTTCTCGTTGGTCATGACCCGCCGCTCCAGGTTGAGCAGGCGGCTGGCGTGGGAGTCCACTTTCCGCTCCACCGCTTGGATGGCGGCCACCACGGTCCAGAGGGAGAGCTCGGCCATGTTCTGCTTGACCTCGCGGTCCAGGTTCTGCTCGGGGAGGAGAGGGAGCGGCGGGCGGGACTCCATCCGCGGGTGGGGGGAAGGAGAAATCCAGGAATTCTTTAAGAGAGAGAGAGAGAGAAAGTGTCAGAATGACAGGACGTCATGTCAGAGCCCCAAAGCTATTGAAGAAGTTTCACACAGAGTATCCTAACAATCCTGACTAACTTTTATACCTGTTTTGGTTTCTTCCAGGTGGATCTCTCTTATTTTTAAGGGGGGCCGGATGTCAGAATCCAATTATACTTCATCTCCAGTTATCAAATATAGAAAACCCCAATTCTGCCTTCTCTGGATTCTGCCATAACAGGGAGAGAAGGGGGAGAACAAAGGGGCTTTAGGGCCCTCACTTCCTTCAGTATACTTCTAAGGAACTGAATGTGTGTATTGCAAAAGAACTAACCATAAGAATGGGGCCGTTTTCCTTTCATGTAGTTTCTTTGAAGTCTCCATCCAGCCAGGCAATAATGAAAAGGGGGGTGGAAGTGTAATGCCTGAGACTGTCGCTGAAAGAGGGGGTTGATTGGGTGGGGCTACTGGGGAAACCCTTAAAACCTTGAATTGGAGAACTTGGACCCAAAGTCCTGTCTAGCATGCCTGCAACCACTTCTTCTTAATAAAGGATTCCTGTTGGAAGAATTATTCCAAGAGTTCTGTCTTCTTAAGATGCAAAGTGGGGTGGGTCCTTAGAAAAAGAGAGAGAAGGACTCTGGAGTTGTCGAAAGAAAGAGGACGCCCGTAGCGGAGCCTCGGCAGTTGTCGAACGTTTAGGCAACGTCGTCAGTGCTAGGAGGAGAGGGGACCTCACTCATTTAAAAAAAAAAAGAAAGAAAGAAAAACAGGCCACTCCTGCCGCAGGGGTCTTCGAACGTGGCCCTTTTAGGACTAGTGGACTTCAACTCCCAGGATTCCTCCGCCAGCGTGCCTGGCTGAGGAATTCTGGGAGTTGAAGTCCACCAGTCATCAACCTGTCTTAAAGCCTCCCGGCTGAGGAATTCTGGGAGTTGAAGTCCCACCAGTCATCAAAGGGCCCATTTTGAAGACCTCTGTCTGAAAATCTCCCGGCTGAGGAATTCTGGGAGTTGAAGTCCCCCCAGTCACAAAAGGGCCCATTTTGAAGACCTCTGTCTGAAAGCCTCTCGGCTGAGGAATTCTGGGAGTTGAAGTCCCACCAGTCACACAAGGGCCCAGTTTGAAGACCCCTGTCTGAAAGTCTCCCGGCTGAGGAATTCTGGGAGTTGAAGTCCCCCCAGTCACAAAAGGGCCCATTTTGTCTGAAAGCCTCTCAGCTGAGGAATTCTGGGAGTTGAAGTCTCACCAATCACACACGGGCCCAGTTTGAAGACCCCTGTCTTAAAGCCTCCCGGCTGAGGAATTCTGGGAGTTGAAGTCCCACCAGTCACACAAGGGCCCAGTTTGAAGGTCCCTGTCTGAAAGTCTCCCAGCTGAGGAATTCTGGGAGTTGAAGTCCCCCCAGTCACACAGGGGCCCATTTTGAAGACCTCTGTCTGAAAGCCTCTCGGCTGAGGAATTCTGGGAGTTGAAGTCCCACCAGTCACACAAGGGCCCAGTTTGAAGGTCCCTGTCTGAAAGCCTCTCGGCTGAGGAATTCTGGAAGTCCCACAAATAATAATAGTAGTAAAGTTGGAAGGGACCTTGGAGGTCATCTAGTTCAACCCCCTGCTCAGGCAGGAAACCCTACACCATTTCGGACAAATGGCTGTCCAGTCTCTTTTAAAAACTTCCAGTGTTGCTTCTGGAGGCAGGTTGTTCCACTGATTACTCAGCCACAAAAGGGCCCAGTCTGAGCAAGGGGCTGGACTACAGGTCCTTCAAGGTCCCAACTGCTATTCTGTAAGGGTCACCTGCTTGAGCAGGGGGCTGGACTAGATGACCTCCAAGGTCTCCCCCTCCAGCTCTATTCCGGTTGATTCTTCAACGCCTCAAGGCCTGCCTATTCTTCACAGATGTGGGCTTTTAATATAATCTGATATAAATGCCAAGAGGGGGGGAGAACAAAAAACAGGCAGCTGATGGTCTAACATTCCCCCCCAAGGCCTTATTTGCAAATACAATTTAAATACAAAATAATCCACCCAAACTCTAAAGCAGACTTTAAATTATTTAAATTTATGCAGATTTTCTTCCCTCTTTCTACGGTCCTTTAGCGGCATTAGTTTATTATTATTATTGTTGTTGTTATTGTTGTTGTTGTTGTTATTATTATTATTATAGGGTTTCCTGCCTGAGCAGGGGGTCGGACTAGATGACCTCCAAGGTCCCTTCCAACTTTACTACTACTACTACTACTACTACTACTACTACTACTACTATTATTATTATAGGGTTTCTTGCCTGAGGAGGGGGTTGGACTAGATGACCTCCAAGATCCCTTCCAACTTTGTTATTACTATTATTATTATGGATCATCGCACAGTCAGCCAGATGTTCAGACTGGATTTGGCATTTTGTCTACCTATCGAGTCCTTACCCAGGACCTGGGATAGGCAGATGTGGATGTTTGATGGTATTACAGATATCGTCGCAGGATGGAAGCAGTTCCTAATAAGGCCGCCTTTTGCAATTGACTAATAGCGAATTTGTCAATGCCAATTGTGTTCAAGTGGTGCTCCAGTTGTTTTGGGATTGCACCCAAGGAGCCTATGACTATTGGTACTACCCTTGCTTGCTTTTGCCACAGTCTTTCTATTTCTATTTGTAGGTCTTTGTATTTTGTTATCTTCACCAGTTCTTTCTCTTCTATTCTGCTATCTCCAGGCACTGCCACATCCACTATCCAGACTTTTTTGTCTGTCTTATCGACAATTGTTAAGTCTGGGGTGTTATGTTGCAGGTGCTTGTCTGTTTGAATTCTGAAGTCCCAGAGCAGTTTAATTTTATCATTTTCTATGACTTTCTCTATTTTATGATCCCACCAGTTTTTGCTTACAGGCAAATGATATTTTTTGCAGATCTTCCAATGCACCATTGTTGCTACTTTGTCATGCCGCTGCTTGTAATCAGTCTGTGCAATCTTCTTGCAACAGCTTACCAAGTGGTCCACTGTTTCTTCAGCTTCTTTGCATAGGCGGCACTTACTGTCTGTTGCTGTCTTCTCAATTTTGACTTTGTATGCATTTGTCCTTAAGGCTTGGTCTTGTGCAGCCAGAATTAGTCCCTCGGTCTTTTTCTTCAATTTTCCTGCTCTTAGCCATTGCCAGGTCTTGTTATTATCTGCTTTCCCAGCTATTTTTTTAATGTATTGGCCATGTAGTGCTTTGTCTTCCCATGCCTCTATTCTGTTCTTCATTTGGTATTATTATTATTAAATATTATTATTATTATTATTATTATTACTACCATTATATTATGTTATTGTTGTTTGTTGTGATTATTATTATCCTTATCATTATTTAATTTATTTATTATCACGTTTAGGTTATTTTAATCACGGTAGAATTATCCAATAGTATTTTTGCCCTCCCCCAGGTTTGTATTGTAGTTCTTTGTATTTCATCATTTAGTTTAAAAACAACAACAACAACAACAATCTGGAAGCAAATTCAAATCATCAAGCATTTCCTCCCATAATTTGGTCTGCGTTCCTTAGGAGCGACTGGCTCGGAAGCAGTCCTCGACCTTACGACGGTTTCTTGAGTGAACCATCCGAGCTTACACCGGCGCGGGGAAAAAGCAACTCCTGACCGTTTTTTTTTTTCACCCGTTACGACCCCTTGCAGCGCTGCCCCCCCCCCCGGCGTTCACGGGCTGACTCGTATTTATCATACTGCAATGGTTGGTCAGGACGAGCGTGTCAATTTCCCCCCTTTGGCGATCGTAGCCCGATTGGCTCCGCCGCCAGCTTGCTCGCATTCACCGCCGCCGCGATTCGTTTAGCGGGGGTGGGCAGGGAGGTCGTAAAAGGGGGCCAAATTCAGCGAGTTGTCATTAAGTCGAGGACTATAGCTGCCCTGGAAGGGGAAACCTTTTCATCCAGCTAGAATCTTTTTTTTTTTTCCTTCTCGCTAAAATACCAATCCACAATATATAATTCAATATTCCCAGTAGGATATAAATTGAAATATTCTCCTGGAATTCACCCGAATCCTGGCCATTACCAGGCCAAAATCCCCAGAACACAAAACACAAAAGATTAATTTTTCATTCCAACCCGTTGCGATGTGTCAAATATTCCGGGGTCAAAATTGCGACACTCGGCAACCGATTCGTATTTATGACGGTCGCAGCGTCCCAGTCTCACGTGGTCAAAATTCCGACACTCGGCAACCGATTTGTATTTATGACGGTCACAGCGTCCCGGGACCATGTGGTCAAATTTCGGATGCTCAGCGACCGACTTGTATTTATAACGGTCGCAGCATCCCGAGGTCACGCGGTCAAAATTTGGATGCTCGGCGACCGATTCGTATTTATGACGGTAACAGCGTCCCACGATCACGTGGTCAAAATTCCGACGCTCTGCAACCGACTTGTATTTATGACGGTCACAGCATCCCCGGGTCATGTGGTCAAAATTCGGACGCTCGGCAACCGATTCGTATTTATGACGGTCGCAGCGTTCCGGGGTCACGTGCTCAAAATTCGGACGCTCAGCGACCGAATCTTATTTATGTCGGTCGCAGTGTCTGGGGTCACATGGTCAAAATTCGGACACTCGGCGACCGACTTGTATTTATGACGGTAACAGCGTCCTGGAATCACGTGGTCAAAATTCTGACGCTCAGCAATCAACTTGTATTTATGACGGTCACAGCGTCCCCGGGTCACGTGGTCAAAATTCGGACGCTTGGCAACCGATTCGTATTTATGACGGTCGCAGCGTTCCAAGGTCATGCCGTTTTGCAACCTTCCGACGAAAAAAGTCGATGGGGAAGCTGGATTCCCTGGGACTCACTTAATGACTTAGCCATGGAAATACAGGGCAAGTCACAACTCGAGGTTTACCTATATTCTTACCTTTGCAGATAGGTATCTTTTAAGCTTAAAGACAGGTAAGATAAGAGCGGAGTTAGAAGGAAAAACACCTGTTTGTTTTTTTTCCCCTTTACCTGAAATAACTTACGGACGACAAAATCTCCAGCGGTTGTGTAAGTCTCGTCACTGTTCCATGCCACACGTTTCTCCTTACACAACTGGCTTGCAACAAAGGAAGAGCTGGGAACAAGCGGCCGCTTCCATCATTCCCCTGAGTCCTCGCACAGCGACGTCAGCTGCTCACTGTAAGGGCGAGAGAGCAGGGTGTGAGAATCGACAGCTCGCACGGAAGAATTGTTCTTTTTCCTTTGTTGTGCATTTATTTATATCTCGCCTGCGCAATAGTATTTTTTAAAAATTGCTCAAGAGGGCAAATGTGTCTAAATACAACTCCCAATTTCCCCACAACAATCCTGTGAGGTGGGCTGGAGGGAGGGAGGGACTGGCCCTAAGTCACCCAGCTGGTTTTCATCCCTAAGGCGGAACTAGAACTCACTGTCTCCAGCTGATTGGCTCAAAGTCACCCAGCTGGTTTTCATGCCTAAGGCGGGACTAGAACTCACCGTCTCCTGCTGATTGGCTCAAAGTCACCCAGCTGGTTTTCATGCCTAAGGCGGGACTAGAACTCACCGTCTCCTGGTGATTGGCTCAAAGTCACTCAGTTACTTTTCATGCCTAAGGCGGGACTAGAACTCACTGTCTCCTGGTGATTGGCTCAAAGTCACTCAGTTGCTTTTCATGCCTAAGGCGGGACTAGAACTCACCCTTGCCTGGTGATTGGCCCACTCAGATGGTTTTCATGCCTAAGGCTGGACTAGAACTCCCAGTTTCCAGGTGATTGGCCCAAAGTCAACCAGTTGGTTTTCATGCCTAAGGCTGGATGGACTAGAACGCCCAGTCTCCAGGTGATTGGCTCAAAGCCATCCAATTGGCTTTCATGCTTAAGGCGGAACTAGAACTCCCTGTCTCCTGCTAACTGGTCCAAAGTCATCCAGTTTGCTTCTCTACTTAATATGGAACTAGAACTCCCTGTCTCCTGGTGATTGCTCCAAAGTCACCCAGCTGGCTGTCATGCCTAAGACAGGACTAAGACACTGCCTTCTGGTTATTGGGTCCAAGTCCCCCAGCCCATTTTCTTCTCTAAGATGGGACTAGAATTCACCCTCTCCTGGTGATTGGGTCAAAGTCCTCCAGCTGGCTTTCATACCTAAGGCAGGACTAGAACTCACCGTCTCTTGGTGATTGGCCCAAACTCACCTATGGTTTTCCTGCCTAAGGCTGCACTACAACTCACTGCCCAGTCACCTAATTGGGTCTTGTGTCTAATGTCGGACTAGAACTCCCTGTCTCCTGGTGATTGGCCCAGAGTCACCCAGCTGGCTTTCTTGCCTGAGGCGGAACTAGAAGTCACAGTCTCCCAGTGATTGGCCCAAAGTCACCCAGCTGGCTTTTATGCCTAAGGCAGAACTAGAACTTCCAGTCTCCCGGTGATTGGCCCAAAGTCACCCAGCTGGCTTTCGTGCCTGAGGCGGAACTAGAACTCACCGTCTCCTGGTGATTGGCCCAAAGTCACCCAGCTGGCTTTCGTGCCTAAGGCAGAACTAGAACTTCCAGTCTCCTGGTGATTGGCCCAAAGTCACCCAGCTGGCTTTCATGCCTGAGGCAGAACTAGAACTCACCGTCTCCCGGTGATTGGCCCAAAGTCACCCAGCTGGCTTTCATGCTTGAGGCCGGACTAAAACTCACCGTCTCCCAGAGATTAGCTCACAGTCACCCAGTTAGCTTTCTTGCCTAAGTCTGCACTATAACTCACTGGCGCCTGGTTTCTAGTCTGGGGCCTTCACCACCACACCAGACTGTCTCATTACCCCCCAAAACCATAGGAGACATCACAATCTCCAACTAGGCAACACATCGGGCAGAAGAAATACAGACACGACAAGATTTCCCCCCCCCCATCTTGACGCCACCCCCACACTCAAACACCCATTAAAATTCTGCTTGGAGGGGGTCCCCAAGGGCCCCCCCCAGGACTACAAAAACCAGCACAATTCCCCCCCCCACGGTATTTCCCAAAAAGGGGGCTGGTTATTTGGGAGATTTGGAGGGGGGGTCCTTGATGTCATCCATCCTGCCCCTCCCCAGGAGGAGAAAATCAGTCAGGATAGGGAGCTCAGCCCCCCCCAAGAACCTCCCTCTGGGGCAGAACTACACTACCCATCATCCCCAATTGGGATAGGCCGGGCCTTGATTGGCCTTCAGGACCACCCGCCCCACTTTTGGGGAGCCAGGAGCCGCCCCCCCCCCAAGTCGAGGGTGGGGCAAAACTGCAACTCCCATCATCCCCAACTGGGCCAGGCCAAGCCTTGCTAGGCCTTTACAATGCCCCCCCCCCGACTTTTGGGGGGACCAGAAAACCCCCCCAATTCGAGGAGGAGAGTCCCTCTGGGCCAGAACTACGCTTCCCATCATCCCCACCTGGGGCAAGTCAAACACTGCTAAGCCTCAGTCGAGGGAGGGGGCAGAACTACAGCTCCCATCATCCCCAGCTGGGCGAAGCCAGGCCCTGCTAGGCCTCAGTCGAGGCAGGGGGCCAGAACTACAGCTCCCATCATCCCCAGCTGGGCCAAGCCAGGCCTCAGTCGAGGGAGGGGGCCGGAACTACAGCTCCCATCATCCCCAGACGGGCCAAGCCAGGCCTCAGTTGAGGGAGAGGGCAGAACTACAGCTCCCATCATCCCCAGCTGGGCCAAACCAGGCCCTGCTAGGCCTCAGTGGAGGGAGGGGGGTAGAACTTCAGTTCCCATCATCCCCAGCTGCCAAGCCAGGCCTGTTGGAGGGAGGGGGAGGAATTACAGCTCCCATCATCCCCAGATGGGCCAAGCCAGGCCTCAGTTGAGGGAGAGGGCAGAACTACAGCTCCCATCATCCCCAACTGGGCCAAACCAGACCCTGCTAGGCCTCAGTGGAGGGAGCGGGGCAGAACTTCAGTTCCCATCATCCCCAGCTGGGCCAAGCCAGGCCTGTCAAGGAACTACAGCTCCCATCATCCCCAACCGGGCCAAACCAGGCTCTGCTAGGCCTCGGTTGAGGAACCACAGCTCCCATCATCCCCAGCTGGGACAAGCCAGGCCCTGCTAGGCCTCAGTCGAGGAACCACAGCTCCCATCATCCCCAGCCGGGCCAAGCCAGGCCCTGCTAGGCCTCAGTCGAGGAACCACACCTCCCATCATCCCCAGCCGGGCCCTGCTAGGCCTCAGTCGAGGGAGGGGGCCGGAACCACAGCTCCCATCATCCCCAGCCGGGCCAAGCCGGGCCCTGCTAGGCCTCAATCGAGGGAGGGGGCCGGAACCACAGCTCCCATCATCTCCAGCCGGGCCAAGCCAGGCCCTGCTAGGCCTCAGTCGAGGAACCACACCTCCCATCATCCCCAGCCGGGCCAAGCCAGGCCCTGCTAGGCCTCAGTCGAGGGAGGGGGCCGGAACCACACCTCCCATCATCCCCAGCCGGGCCAGGCCCAGGCCTTCGGGTCCCCCCTCCCCCCACTTTGGGGGGGGGGAACCCCGCCGCCCCGCCCCCACCCCGAGGACGGGGCTCCCCGGGGGTCAAAGGTCAGCCCAGGGCCCCCCTCCTCTCCGAGGGGGCGTGGCCGCGGAGCCTCTCCCCCCCTCCAAGGGCGACCCCCCCCCAAACTCAACCCGGCCTTTGTTCCCCAGCGAGGAGAAGGGAGGGGGGAACGGCGCCCCGCCCCTCCAAACCTGGCTCCGCCCCCTCCGCTTACGGCGCGCCGGGGGGGGCGGCTCGGGAGGGGGGGGAGCGACGCGCGGCGACGGGCGCGGGGGGGGGGAGAGAGAGAGGAAAAGAAGCCGAGCTACCCACCGGTGGCGTCTCTGGCGAGCGGGCGAGCGGCGAGCGGCGCGCATGCGCGAGGAGGGCCGGCCCTTCCGACGCTCGCGGGAGGGGAACGAGGGAGGCAAGGAAAGCGGGGGGGGGGGCGGAGCGAGCGCCCGCGCAGCCCGGAGAAGCGCATGCGCCACCAAAGCTGCCTGCCTGCCGGGCGCGGCGTGGCCACAGCGCCACCTGCGGCGGGAGGAGAGCTTTGCGCCTGCGCGGCGGAAGGCGGAAGCTCGGGGAAAAAAAGAAAGCAACAGCGGAAGCCACTTCCGGTTGGCCTCTCTTTTCCCGTCCCAGAAGCCCCCTGCCCTGGCCTAAAGGGCGTCCCCCGGCAGGGGTGGGGCATCTTGAAAAAAAGCCCCCGAATTACAAACTCATTTAGTGACCCTTTAAAGCAGGGGAGTCTCGCCTGGCTGAGGAATTCTGGGACTTGAAGTCCACAAGGCATAAAAGGACCAAGCTTAAAAGTCCTGCTTCGGACTTCAACTCCCAGAATTCCTCAGCCAAGCACGCTAGCTGAGGAATTGGGAGTTGCAGTCCCACAAAAAATGCCAGGTGAAAACCTGCTTGTGGACACAACTCCAGAATCCTCAGCCAAGCACGATAGCTGAGAATTGGGAGTTGCAGACCCACAAGTCATAACGGGCAAATTGAAGACCCCCTGCTTGTGGACTTCAACTCCCAGAATTCCTCAGCCAGGCACGGCTGAGGAATTCTGGGAGTTGAAGTCCAGAAGTCATAAAGGGCCAAGGTGCCCCCTGCTTGTGGACTTCAACTCCCAGAATCCAGGAATTCTGGGAGTGAAGTCCAAAGTCATAAAGGGCCAAGTTTGAAGACCCCATGCTTGTGGACTTCAATCCCAGAATTCCTCAGCCAGGCAAGCTGAGCTGAGGAATTCTGGGAGGTGAAGTCCCACAAGTCATAAAAGGGCCGAGTTTGAAGATGCCCTGCTTGTGGACTTCAACTCCCAGAATTCCTCAGCCAAGCACGCTAGCTGAGGAATTCTGGGAGTTGAAGTCTCACAAAAAGGCCAGGTTTGAAAACCCCTGCTTGTGGACATCAACTCCCAGAATAACTTAGCCAAGCATGCTAGCTGAGGACTTCTGGGAGTTGTAGTCCCACAAGTCATAAAAGGGCCGAGTTTGAAGACCCCTGCTTGTGGACCCCCGCTTGTAGACTCAACTCCAGAATTCCTCAACCAAGCATGGTAGCTGAGGAATCTGGGAGTTGCAGTCCCACAAGTCAGGAAAGGGCCGAGTTTGAAGACGCCCTGCTTGTGGACTTCAACTCCGAATTCCTCAGCCAGGCCATGGTAGCTGAGGAATTCTGGGAAGTTGCAGTCCCACAAGTCATAAGAGGGCCGAGTTTGCAGACCCCCTGCTTGTGGACCCCTGCTTGTAGACTTCACCTCCCAGAAGTCCTCAGCCAAGCATGCTAGCTGAGGAATTCTGGGAGTTGCAGTCCCACAAGTCATAAGAGGGCCAAGTTTGAAGACCCCCTGCTTGTGGACTTCAATTCCCAGAATTCCTCAGCCAGGGATGGTAGCTGAGGAATTCTGGGAGTTGCAGTCTCACAAGTCATAAAAGGGCGGAGTTTGAAGACCCCCTGCT